AGCGTCTTACTTTCAGCGCCCACCTGAGCTATGTGAGAGAGAAAGCAGCTTCAACGATCACGGGACTATCGCGAATAATGCTTAATACGCGAGGACCGAAACAGCGCAGGCGTTTACTCTTAGCGAGCGTGGTTAAAAGCCAAATACTGTATGCGGCCCCAATTTGGTCAAACGCCGCACAGTGTCCATCATACTTCCGCGGAGTCAACTCAACATACCGTTTATGCGCGCTCCGAGTTTGCAGCGCCTTCAGAACAGTGTCGGACGAAGCAGCTTTCGTAATCGGCAGTATGATACCCGTAGATATACTAGCAAGAGAATCGACGGTCCTTGCATCCACGCGGCGTACTCTAACTCAATTAGACCGACATCAAGCCCGGCAAAGCAGCGTTACGGAGTGGCAAAACAGGTGGAATAGTACGACTAAAGGTCGTTGGACCTATCGCTGCATACCAAACCTGGTATCCTGGCTTAATAGAACGCATGGCGAAGTAGATTTTTATCTGAGCCAGTTCTTGAGTGGTCATGGCTGTTTTAAGGCATACCTGTTTAAATTCAAACATGAGCACGACCCCTACTGCGACTTCTGTCTAAGTGGCGTGGAAGAAGATGTCCACCACGTATTCTTTGAGTGCCCTCGTTTCCATCGGCAGATGAACCAACTTAAACTTGCCGTTGGAGGGGTGTTTACGCCACAGTCAGTAGTCGACTATATGGTGAAAGGAACCAGCGAATGGGCATCAACCAGCGATACACTAACTTCGATTTTGAAGGAACTGAGGGACCTAGAGAGACAGCGGCGTATCAGCCGTGCTTAAGCCAACTCTTAGCATAGCCGCGGACTGGAACTAAACTATGATGTTCACCAACCAAAGCGTAGGCGCGGACTGGAACCTAGGCCGTTCCAGCCGCTCGAGCAGTGCGGCTTAGAAAGTTGTGCTTTCAGACCGCACCTTGAACATGAAATCTAACAATTAAAGCGCATGCGCGGACTGGAACCTAGGGCGTTCCAGCCGCTCAGGTGGCAATCTCGAAAATTTGTGAAATCGATAAATACGCGCGGACTGGAACCTATGGCGTTCCAGCCGCCCAAGTGGCAATATCGAAAAACTATTGCAATCGAAAATAGGCGCGGACTGGAACCTAGGGCGTTCCAGCCGCTCAGGTGGCAATCTCGAAAAATTTTTTAAATCGATAAATATGCGCGGACTGGAACCTAAGGCGTTCCAGCCGCCCAAGTGGCAACCTCGAAAAAAATTTTTTGCAATCGAAAATAGGCGCGGACTGGAACCTAGGGCGTTCCAGCCGCAAATAAAGTGCAGTTTCGAATTTCGTCCACACGGGGCGTTGGTGCGGATTGGAACCTAGACCGTTCAAACCGCAAAGGCAATATACATACGTATGCGGGCTTGAAACTCGTCGCATAAGGCATTTTAAGGTTTTTGCTCTTACTGTCTATAAAGGCGAAAATAATAAGTGGTATCTAAGAGATAAATGAATAAATAGTTAAAAAAGGGTAATTATCCTTAAACAAGACGTGGCAAAGCCTACCAGGCGTAGCCCAGGACTGAGTACAACCGACTGGAACGAACGTGCGAGTCTAGTGCTCAACCGCCTCCCGACGAAATACTTGACGGTGGTACCGGGGGGTTCGGTACTCGGACAGTAGGAGGTTTAGTTCGGGTTAAAGTCCCACACTGACGAGTATAGGCTTTCGATGCTTCCTCCTCGTAAAAAAAAAAAATAAAAAAAAAACATATGTTTGTATGGATATATTTATGATGAAGCAAACGGGCTTCGTTGATGTACTGATGGGCATATGTATGTACTTATGGACAGCAATGTTTTCATGTATGTACATATGTTTGAATGGTTGTGTATATATTTGTACGTATGTACATATGTTTGTGTATCTACATATGTTTGTGTACATGTATATATGCACATATGTAGTACAAACGAAAACAAATCTAATAAGCTGCTCGTTGATATAAGTTGCGATCCCGTGCGAGTACGGACTAGTCAGAAATAGTCAGAATCAGTCTGATTTTACTGGAACTCGATCCCGTACTCGGTTCTCTGACTATTGAGAGGAGAAAAAAGAGAGTAAATACGGTTCTCTCTCGTCACAAGTTACCAGTTTTAGTCCGAGAATTTTTTGCTGGTAAATGTGTCAAACGATCAGCTGTAGCAAAGAACGTAGATAACAAGAAGGGACAACTCGTTATAATTGTGGCGAAAGCGCGCAACAGGGGCGTGCCTTCTCTTTTCATCCAATCAAAAAACGCACTAGGACAAAAGAGAAGGCACGCCCCTGTTGCGCACTCTCGCTACAATTATAACGAGTTGTCCCTTCTTGTTATCTACGTTCTTTGGCTGTAGTGTGTTTGGCAACCAAATTGTAAACAAAAGAAAAGTGCACTCTGCTAATTCATGTTGAAAAGTATTTAATTACTTATTTAAGTGGATTCTAATGAATTTGAAAATTTTTGGTTATTTACATGTGTGAGCTGAGTGTTTTTACATACAAAATAAGGAAAAATTTACAACAAAAATTTGGAGGTTATGTTGAAGTTGACAGAAGTTACAATTTTTTACTAGAAAGCGATCCCGTACTTTTCAATGTTACTCTCTCACTCTGATCGAATTTTTANAAATTTACAACAAAAATTTGGAGGTTATGTTGAAGTTGACAGAAGTTACAATTTTTTACTAGAAAGCGATCCCGTACTTTTCAATGTTACTCTCTCACTCTGATCGAATTTTTATTTATTGACAGTTTTACTAGTTTTAGTCCCAGGAATACGAGATTGCCCCTTTATGTAAATGCGAACTGTACTGATTGTCAAAAATTATGTGTTTGTTGTACATTTGTTCATGTTTGTCATTGTGCGTGTAATTTTCTAGAGCAGTTTTGTGCTCTCGCTATCTCCTTGTATTAACTCGTCCTTCATTGGTATACTCTGATGAACATATCGTCGGTCCCTACGAAGAGTAGCACATTTCACTATTCGCGTGGAAGACTAGCACATTTCACTATTAGCGTGGAAGACTAGCACATTTCATTATTCGCGTCGAAAAGTAGCACATTTCAGATTTTTGCGTGGAAGAGTAGCACATTTCGTTATTTGCGTGGAAGACTAGTACATTTCAGATTTTTGCGTGGAAGACTAGCACATTTCAGATTTTTGCGTGGAAGAGTAGCACATTTCGTTATTTGCGTGGAAGACTAGCACATTTCAGATTTTTGCGTGGAAGAGTAGCACATTTCGTTATTTGCCTGGAAGACTAGCACATTTCAGATTTTTGTGTGGAAGAGGGATACGCAAGGCAGTTCATATAAGGTTGTAGCAGCCGTTAAAAAAAAAAAAGTTACATAAATATGTATGTTTATACTATAATTATTTTTCTTCGGTCATGCTGAAAGTTTAGTGTTGTATATGGAGCCTTTTGGCCGGTTATTACAAGTAAAATAAACGTTTATTTTTCCTCCTACACCTTTCGACATTCGCGTCTTTCTCAGGGAATCTTTATTTATAAATAAATACGAAAAAACATATACATACAGTATCATATCAAGAACACCCCGTTTCAAAGTGATATTATTTATGTTATGTTTATTTATTTACTTAAAAAACCTTCAATTAAAATAAAGTTAATTCTCTTAAAAAAATCCATATTGGCCCAAGTTTAAAGCCCAGGAGAATACTAAAAAAACTCAACAAATTTTCAACAACGCAAACGCAAATGAAATATTTTCCTTCGAAGAACTGTCCAAATATTTTCATTGGCAAAAAATTAAGATATCACATGTACGGAAAATTACAATAAAAAATAGCAAAAATCAAGTAGACATGGCAGTAAAATACGACTTTATGCAAAGCGAGGAGAAGTTGAACCTAATGAAAAAAAATGTTCAATGGTCAACCATGAAACACTGTGAATTGCCTAAAGCTTACAAGGGAAAAATACCTTTAAAAAAAGAAAAGTGGATGATATTCAACAAATGATTAGTAAACGGTATATACCGTCTGAATTTCATGATTTTCATAATACAATTAAAGAAATATAGAATAAACGTTTGAATTTTCAATATATATTATGCTTTTATGATTTACTTTAAACCGGAGACGTGCAGTTTTCGCGGCTTAACAATCTGAAATATGCTACACTTCCAAGCGAAAATCTGAAATGTGCTAGTCTTCCACGCAAAAATCTGAAATGTGCTAGTCTTCCACGCAAATAACGAAATGTGCTAGTCTTCCACGCAAAAATCTGAAATGTGCTAGTCTTCCACGCAAATAACGAAATGTGCTAGTCTTCCACGCAAAAATCTGAAATGTGCTAGTCTTCCACGCGATTAGTGAAATGTGCTAGTCTTCCACGCGAGAATCTGAAATGTGCTACTTTTCGACGCGAATAATGAAATGTGCTAGTCTTCGACGCGAATAGTGAAACGTGCTAGCTCAGTATATCCAGTAAAAAAACTGTGGTGAAGTCCTTTATGGGGATAAAGTTTCCAGAGGTGAAATTTTATGTAGTACACAATTTCTTACTTGCATGGTTGCTTTTCAGCACTCATGAAAGAAACTTAAGAAATGTTTGAAAAAAAAGTTCATATAGTACATACATTTTTGGAATAAATACCATATAATGTATGTACTCTGGTTAATAATATCAAAAAATGTATTAGAACCACCATTTAATGTTATATTTGATACAAATTAATATTGCTGCCCCGAACGCTCTGCGCCTTGCCACTGAATAATAGATTTACTTAAAATTACATCCCTGGTCCTTGTTCTTTCTGTATCGCATCGTGGTGAATTCACATTTCTCAGAAATTTGACAACAAAACAAAACAAAGCGAGTATTTTATTTGCTAATTTTTGCGATTTCTATTGTTTAATGTAAATTTGTCTTTTTAGGATATGTCGAGCCAACAAAGAAGGCGCAGTTGGAAAATTTAGTAATTAGTAATGAAGTAGCAGGCATATTTGGAAAATTATGCCGATAAACAGGATGGAATTTGGGAAAGTGCATGGTTGCAGCATATCTATGTATAAAAAGTTTTTAATTAAATTGTTTATAGAAAGGTTATAAATCGAGTGGCTCATTTACGATGTGCTCCAAACATTTGGCGAACTTTTTTTCGCCTTTTCAACGTGCTAAGTAACAAGTTAAGATGACTGCCATCATGGGCCGGTAAGAAACCGCAAGCAAAGGGCAGACAACCTTCCAGGAAGCTGCCTCCTGTCCCCGAGCCGAAGCTGCAGTTCAGCAAGAGCAGGTCAGCAAATTGCTACCCTGATCAAACGTAAACTAAAGCGCTCTGCTGTGATTGCACTCCGTAAATGTGAAAACTTGGTGCATGCTGAGAAATATCAAACAAGAAAACTCCGTGATGGACGCTGTGTGGCAAAGAAATGCGGCCAATTCGACGGGCCTGAAAAATCCAAATTGGCTTTTGTGATCCGCATCCGCGGTATCAACAAAGTTGCACAAAAAGTGCGTAGTTTTACAGTTCTGTCTTCGCCACATTAAAACGGTGTGTTCATCAAATTGAGCAAGGCAACCATTTATATGCTACGTATGCCGAACCCCCTATATGGGGTTATCCAAATCTTAAATCAGTTTGTGAATTGATGTACAAACGTGGAATGGTCAAGCGTGTCCCAATCTCTGCTTTGTGATCGAACGCAAATTTCGCGAAGCGGACGAAATTCAGTGCGTTTATTCACTTCACTTCAAGAAAGCCCCCAACTTCCTGTTGCTATTCAAGCTCAACACATCAATCCGAGGCTGGCGCAAGAAGGCTAATCACTACGTTGAGGTTGGTGATTTCGGTAGCCGTGAGGATAAGATCAACAAATTGCTGCACAAGATGGCTTAAAGAAATTGTTGTTTTGTATTTAAGTAGACAATATAATTTGGCACATCTTCAAAAGACGCCCAAGCAAAAAAAAAAAAGAAAATTAAAAAATTCCTGAAGTTGCCTTTTCACGGGTCGATTACTGGAAAATTTACTTAAGATATCGACTAGCCAAAACGCTTACATTTTACGGTTGAATTGCAATTTACACGGGTAGATTTTGGTTAAACGACTAAAATCGACCGTGTAAAGGCAGCTTAAATAACGTTCAAATTAATCACCCCCTTTGAGATGGAAAATACCAATAACCATTTCATAATTTCGAAAATTATTCCATTTATATTTGTTCTTGCATTTTCCACACCACTTTACGCGCGTTACCGATTTTTTTTAATGTGCTCGGTTGCCCAGGAGGCCTATTTTCACCTTTACAACTTAACTTAAACAGAATTAAAACTAAAGCATGCAATATATAAAGAAAATTAAAAGTTGTCTTACATCTAGTAAACTTAAAAAATTGCACATTAAATTCATTTTTCATTATAAAATAAAATTAAATATCACAATTCAGTTTACAAAATGTGGTCTGTTTGCACCCACAGTAAGTTCCCATGAAGCCTAGCCTAAATTCAGAATTGAAAAAAAAAACGAGCAAATGGGGTCGGAAACTACTAGCCCTAAAAGCATAATGTGGAAAATGTTTGAAGAGCTGCGAAATTGTATTGCAATAATAAAAATAACAAAGCATAAATTGGAAAAAATGGTTTTTGTTTTGCTTTATAATTTTTGGGAATATTGGTTCAGATGGAATTTTTTATTTGTTTGGTTTTTCAGCTCGTTAATGATGCACCCAGGGTTGCATTTACTGTCTATGAAAATATTTCGTGAAGCGTTCCAAAATTAGCTCCGAGCAACTAAAAGTTGGTTAAGCCCCTAATGAAATAGTTTTTTATTAAATATTTATTCCTGGTATTTAGTAAAAAACATCAATACTAATGTATGAAAAACAAAACATCAATGCTAATGTATGAAATGAAGTAAATAAAAATCTACGAATACATTCCATGAATATTTTGTCATAGAGCCATTATTAAATTTAGACATAACTTTGTCAGGCGTTGGTACCTACGTATATAGAATTAATGCGTTGGAGAGAGATAAATATACAAGTTCAACGCGCTAATTTAGGTATCCTTGTATGTATATACCTGTTACTCGTCTGGCATATACTCCAACTGCGAAAATAATGACAATTATAATTTATGTAGATCCCTGGATAAAAGATTGTCACAAGTTACTTTCGGTAACTCACGATTGAAGTTTGGAATGCAATTTCTCAGAAACACGACTACAGATTTTCTCCAAAGTGTCGGAGAATGCTATGTACTAGTTCATGAAATTCTTAAATTATCTTATTTTTTTTAGTTTAGTGTCAACCATTTATGAGTTTAATAAAATTTTGTCGTATACGGCATTTGTCAATAAATTTGCAGTCAGTTTTAGTGATATACGCCAAAATGTGATAACAATTTTTATAAATTAACCATACTTTTTACTAATCAGCCTAATCGTGAGTTTCGCCCGAACAAAATTTCGCCAACAATTTTTTCATCCACCTGTAGTGAACACACGCAAACGAAAAGTGACCCGGTTCTAGAAAATGAAACTCATGATAAAGCTGAATATGTCGGAAACTAAAGAAGAACAGATAACTCTATTTGAAAGATCTTGATTAGTTTAGTACGACAGCAATACTAACGCAACTTGTACCAAATAACCGAAAAAATTTTAGTCAATTAGTCGGAAACTAAAGAAGATATCCAAAAACCACAAATTGTCAAAATGACGCTTCCGGCAATTTTCCATCCAGGCGACGATATTTGAATAGGTTTGTATAGTTACCAATAGTCAGTACTAATTTGTACTGGAACCTGCAAACTTTTACTGGAAAAGTGTATGATAACCCAAAAAATTTGCATGAGAGCACTGAATCGAGAGCGTAACAACACCAGAGAGCTGCAAATTCTTGCTAGTGAAATTTGTACTAGCAGAAATTAGCTAGCAGAAGCAGAAGAAGAATAAATGTCAAAAGAATATATAAAAAGTGGTGTTACTAGCTCAGTTGATTTTGTGTATGTGTTTCACACATATCAAATTGAAAAATTTTGTTTGAATTTCTACTCACACTTACAGGTTTTGACAGTTTATGCCGCCAAA